CATGTTGAATAATGTTTGTGATGAACTGATTTTGGGACATCTTCTCCTTTGTGTCCTAGAAGTAGCTAGAAACTGTTCTCTATATAATTTTACAACCATAATTTCTAGTAAATGAAGCTTAATTATGAAAACATTAGGCAAGTCAATTTGATTGAGATGGAATAAGCCAAGGCCATAAAATGTTACAGTGAATCAGTAAATGGAAGTGATTTTGCTTACAAGAAAGAAACCAATGCCAAATTATACACCGTATCAAATTATACAAGAGGAAAACCAGTACCCAAATCAAATCATACACTATATTTTTGTGCTTGGAAGTAGTTTTTCTTACAAAAACAAGTATTAGATACCAATACATCTAACAAGTGAATTCTAGCATTATTTTGAACCAGATTGACAATATGAATCTAATTGTACCTTTGAATCTCAAAAACTATCGAGGACATAGCTCTGTAATTGAAACATCATTATTTGACAAGGGGACTGATTGTTCCTCTAATCTCTGCGAGTCTTGTACCCATGAATTGTACCCAAATGAGGATGACATGTTAGATGCAATGTTGCTGTGCACAAAAAATGCAGGTTTAGAGGGCACTGGGAGACTAATTAAATTGTCATTAAGCATGAGAACAACTGAAGCCATGGCTGGTCTGTGAGCAACATTTTCTTGAACACATAGCAAACCAATATGGATGCATCTCATCATTTCAGCTGTTGAACCATTTCTCAAAGTTGGATCTAGGAGATTTAATCCTGTCCCTTCTTTCCAGTTTTTCCATGACTGCAAAAGGTTACAAAAGCACACACACGAGGCATCAAAGTGAGAACCAGTTAAGATTTGAACTTTTATTTATCACAAGACAAGAAAGAAACATAAAATAAGTATAGATTGTCATACTTACATAACTTAGTAGGTCCTCTATGTTCTCCCCATTTTGAAAACAACTATTTTTTTGTCCACTGACGATTTCTAAAAGTAACACACCAAAACTAAAAGCATCTGACTTTATTGAGAACTGCCCATACATTGCATACTCTGGAGCCATGTACCCACTGTAAGTATATCAATAGCAATGGGATCATTTTCAAGATAAAAAATGATAACTCATTTTCTAGTATTTTTTTAATGGAGTACATATGAAAGGCATTTTTGGTACTTTCATGTTGTCAATAAGGAATAGAGCTAATTGGACATTTATTTGTACAAGAAACAATTCAAAGTTTTACTCTCTTTAATACTTACTGAGTTCCCACAATTCTACTGGTATTGCCTTGTGTTTCATCCCTTACAACTAATCTTGCCATGCCAAAATCTGCGATTTTAGGATTCATATTTTCATCTAATAAAACATTACTTGCTTTTAAATCACGATGAATTATTCGAAGACGAGAATCCTCATGTAGGTAAAGGAGGCCACGAGCTACGCCTTTGATGATTTTGCAACGGATTTCCCAATCTAGTTGTGCACACTTGATTCGATCTATATGTTCATATATAGTTCATATGAGAGTAAAAAAAAAAAAAAAAAAGAACCAATAACTAGGATATGAATTTAAAGAGGTTAAGGGCTTTGCAAATAACTAGAACATAAATGTGTAACCCCCTCAAACACGCAAACTCATATATAATTCTTTATGAGTAGAATTGAAATCTGAATCAAGAGAAAAATCTAAAACGCGTGCACATACCAAAAATAAAATGATCAAGGCTTGTATTTGGCACAAACTCGTAGATGAGAAGTCTTTCATCTCTTTCCAAGCAGAAGCCTAGGAGTCTGACCAAATTCCGATGTTGAAGTTTGGCCACTAAAAGAACCTCATTTTTGAATTCTAAGTCTCCTTGTCTAGAAACACTAGATAACCTTTTCACGGCTACTTCTTGTCCTTCTGAAAGCTTGCCCTATGTGTAAAATAGAGTGGTACTGACTAAATTTAAGTTACCAAATTTCAATTTAATTCAAAATACACCAAGGTGTACTATAATTAATGTTCTTTTCTATTCATTACATCATTACCTTGTAAACTGCGCCAAATCCTCCTTGTCCAAGTTTATTTTCATCACAGAAGTTATTAGTTGCGGCCCGAA